TTAAAAATCAGGAATAACAATATATATTATTAAGGGCTGGAGTGATAGCACAGCGGGTAGGGTGTTCGCCTTACAAGCGGCCAACATGGCCGACCCGAGTTCGATTCCTCCGCCCCTCTCGGAGAGCCCGGCAAGCTACCGAGAGTATTGGATATGCCAGACACAGTAACAACAAAGTCTCCAATGGAGACGTTACTGGGCCCGCTCGAGCAAATCGACGATCAACGGGAGGGCCTTTACCTTTACCTTTTACCTTATTATTAAGTGTTAATTTTCCTATGTAAGTTTATAGTGCTATAAAATTAATTTAAGAGAAATTTATGTGTATTCAGTGTTCAGTGTAAGCTGTACAGGATGTCTAGAACCAGTGATTTATCTTACAAAATATGCATAATGTGGGGAAAGGAAGAGTATTTGAGGATGGGAAATACAGATACAATATAGTAGAATAATGTTCATGTAGCATATAAAATGTTATTTAGAAAATTATCAAAGGGGAAGGAGCATAGTTACATTATCTTTGAAACCATAATTGCCTTAAAAGTGTATAATTCTAGTTTTACCTTCTGTAGAAAGATAAAAACCACACTACAATTTGCAGGTACTGTTGTGAGGATTAATACAATGATATAAACAAAAAAATACAAGTCTTGGTCCATCATGGAACATTTCATGCTAGCTACTACTATGAGACTCCCTTTCCACTTTCTATTGCTCTCCAGATATTTTTTTTTTCAAACCACAAACATATATTAGTGAAAGTGTTCTCTGACCAAAGAGTTAGAAAGGCGATTTTCTCTCTTTGTTTTATTTATATGCCACTTTATTTACTTAACTGTTCATTTAATCATTGAGTGAACTAATTTTATTTAATAATTTTGTATTGTTTTTTAAAACTTATCCTGTCATTGTCCTCCCGTTGTTCATCAATTTGCTCGAGCGGACCCAGTAACGTCTCCATTGGAGACTTTGTTGTTACTGTGTTTGGCATATGAATACATCACGGGTCGCTTGCCAGGCTCTGCCATGCGGACGAGATACTCTTGGTAGCTTGCCGGGCTCTCCTAGGAGGGTGGAGGAATCGAACTCAGGTCGGCCATGTTGGCTTCATGCAAGGCAAACGCCCTACCCGCTGTGCTATTGCCCCAGCCCATTAAATGTTACTTTATTCTTTTTTAAGTTTTTGAATCATTACATTTTTACCAACAGGATCTTTATGCCAAATCTGTCTTAAAATAGTACTGGAAAATACCACATTTACCATTTTAAACACCCTTAAAATAATCAAAATTATTTTATTATTAATAAACTTGTTATGAAGTTAAATATTATTTACAAGCAATACTACTATAGGTGGGCTGGAGCGATAGCACAGTGGGTAGGGTGTTTGCCTTGAACACAGCCAACTGACCTGAGTTCGATTCATTCGCCTTCGATTCCTCTGTTCCTCTAGGAGAGCCTGGCAAGCTACAGAGAGTATCTCACCCACAGCAAAGCCTGGCAAGCTACCCGTGATGTATTCGATATGCCAAACACAGTAACAACAAGTTTCACAATGTAAGTGGGCCCGCTCGAGCAAATCTATGAACAACGAGAGGACAGTGATTAATATATGTAAATAAATATGCTTTGCAGCTTTAAGATAATTCAAAATATCATTCTTCAGCTTATTTATTTACTTTTTGTCTCACACTCAGAAACATGAAGGGCTTAATTCCTTGCTTTGCTCTCAGGGATCACTCCTGGCAATGATCAGGGAACCAACCTTACCCACTGTACTGTATCTTTGGCCTACAGAGTTCTTATTTTTATTTTTTATTTTTGCCTACATTTGGCAGTACATAAAGCTTACTCCAGGATCTGTGCTAATGGCTGATTCCTGGCACGACTCAGACAACTTATGTAGTTCCAGGATCAAATCTTGGTTATCCTATGTGAAAAGCAAACACCCTACCCACTGTATCTTTCTGTTTCTGAGATTCTCATTTTTAAAGTAATTTTTAAGAATATTTGGTGGAGTGTGGGAAGTGCTGACAGAGGTGGAGCAAATGCCTCACACGTGCAAGGTTCAATCCCAGCACCACATGCTTCTCCCAAGGAACACCCAGTACAGCTGTGAAAGATCCTGGGCAGCCACAGGTGTGGTTAGAAAGATCACAGGGATGCTAAACTAAGTTAGAAAGCACCTGACGCCAAACTGACCCCAAAAACCAAATTGCCTGACCTATACTGTTGGGTGTAACAGGAAATGATACCAGGGCCTTTGTTGGAAATGACCCTCTAAAAATAAATAAAATTTAAAAAATGCAATTTGTGTGCAAGTAGAGATTCTTTAAATTATTAATAGCAACAAATTCTCATTAATAGAACATAAAACACAAAATCTTACTGAAAATACATCTAAAACAGTAGACAATTCAGTCACGGTCACGATCCTCTCCTTCTTCATCGATTTTGCTCGAGCGGGCCCAGTAACATTGTGAGATTTGTTACTGTGTTTGGCATATCGAATACATCACAGGGAGCTTGCCAGGCTTTGCTGTGCGGGCGAGATACTCTCGGTAGCTTGCCGGGCTCTCTAAGAGGGGTGGAGGAATCGAACTCAGGTTGGCCATGTTGTCTGGGTGCAAGGCAAATGCCCTACCCACTGTGCTATCGCTCCAGCCCAGACAATTCAGTACCAACAATAAATTTTCTGAAATGATGAATGTCTATAGAGTGGTTATAGATTAATTGAAAAGTTGGTAATAGAAAGTCAAATTTATATTAACTTTCTCACATTCATCCTATATATTTCTTACTCTTAGTCCGATTATTGGATAACTATTAAATAATTGTTTGAACTACTGTTAGTATGGTATATTTTATTGCTATTGATAGACCATCAACAATACATTATAACTAGATGAAGTATGTTATTTATATTAGGTTTAATTCTTAGTTCTATATAGTTTCATGGAGTTTTATAAATACATAATGTCATGTGATCATCATAAGTTATATTGCAGAATAGTTTTGTTGCCCTAAAAATTATCTTGTGTACCACTTAACTATCAGTAATCCACTGCCCCAAACTCTTGTCAACATCTTTATATTTTTTATAATTTTCTTCTGTGTTATAAATTTAGACTCATATAGTATGCATCCTTTTCAGACATTCATATTCCTTAGCAATAAATACTTAGTATTTTGTATGTTAAAATTTTACTTTTCATATGTCTATAATGAAGGAATTTAAAATTAAAATGATACATAATAAAAAGCAGTAAAAGGTCTAATATTATTATTTACTACGTATTTTTATTTAGTTAGCTAGTTTTTTGGCCACATCCAGCAATGCTCAGAAGTCATTCCTGGCTCTGTGCTCAAGAATCACTACTGGTGGTGCTTGGGGGACCGTATGTGATGCCAGGGATGGAACCCAGGCTGGCTGCGTGCAAGGCAAACGTCCTCCTCGCTGTGCTATCGCTCCAGCCCATATTTAGTACCTCTTTTTAAGTGTAGTTCTCACACTGAATTTTTATGTACTGTCTAAATGTTCGGAATGTTTATAAAAACAAAAAGCATGCAGAAATATAGCTTCCCCTGATAGACTGGAATCGCTGCTTTTGTTAATCTATGATTTTATAATTTTCTTTTAATATTAGAGCTTAAGTTCATCCCTGACAGATGGTTATAACCTGATGTGTGAAAAAACATTACTAATTTAACATATTTAAGCTACCGTGGAAAATTAGCGAGTTTATGAGAATTGAAAAACTCATTTCCTAATGCGATTTACGCAAGACTGCAAGGATTTTCATTAAGTAATATAAAACAAATTAGAAGGATAGAAACACAACTCAAGGACAGTAAATATAATCACTATTTTTTTTAAATTTAGCTATGTCAAACTTATAAAAACTTTATAAAAAATACTCTATAATTTTAAAGCCAAAAGTTTTGCTTCCTTCTAAAACATTTGCGGTATTTGTCATCATTTTTAGTTTTTTTTTAGTTTTTTTAATGTGTTATTTATAAATATGTTACTAATAGAATATTTAGTATACAGGAAAAACTTAAAATTGATTTTTAAGTTTGGATTTAAAATAATTATAAAAATCTTGAATAGCAGAATAATTCAGCTACTGAATAAATAATAGGTTTAAATTTTTTCATTCATTATGATGATTTTTCTATATTTACTTGCAACAAATGCTAACTTGCTTATCTAGAATGACTAGCAGAGTAAAATCAGATATTTTATGGGGTCAGAAATGTATAACAACTAAGACATGCGCCTTGCACATGGCCAACATGGGTTCCATCCCCAGCATCCCGTGGTCCCCTGAGTACTGCCAGGAGTCATTCCTGAGTGCAGAGTCAGGAATAACCCCAGTTCAAAAAAAGGTAAAATAAGAAAATAGAGAAATAAAATTTAGCAAGAGCAATAGTAGAACAGGTAGGGCTTTTTCCTTGCATGTGACTGACCCTGGTTCTATTCTCGGAATTCCATATATTCTCTAAAGAACTGCCGGGAGTAACTGCTAAGCATAGGGCCAGGAGTAACCCCTTAACATTTTTGGGTGTGGTCCCAAAACAAAAAAATCAGATATTTCACTTCTGGTTGGGAAGACTTTATAATCTCTGTTTCACAATCAAAGGCCAAGCCAAGGGTTTGTCATCATTTCATACTTTCTGTTCCCTGTTTTATTTCTCTCTATAAAGAAATGTTCTAGTAATGACGTAAGGACAGTGATGGTTGACCTTGAACATTTGGTGGTTTTGAGGTATAGTAACTATGTACTCAAAACCATGAAAGTCAGGACTGTTATAACCATGTTACAACATACGTTACAATAAATATAGTTAAAGATTTGATGAGATTTAAATGCTAATATTATTACTGAGACAATTCTAGGAATCCGTGGTTTTGTTTAGTATGGTGACAATTTTTCTGACTCAGAGCCACAGTCTGTTTAAATATATGTGCTTATATTTTTGTATGCTTTTCCCTACAGAAAGCCGACCTTGCAGTTGCTCCACTGGCTATTACCTACGTTCGAGAGAAGGTCATCGACTTTTCCAAGCCCTTTATGACACTTGGAATAAGTATTTTGTACCGCAAGCCCAATGGTACAAACCCAGGAGTCTTCTCCTTCCTGAATCCTCTCTCCCCTGATATCTGGATGTATATTCTGCTGGCTTACTTGGGTGTCAGTTGTGTGCTCTTTGTCATAGCCAGGTAACATGCTCACTTTTGTGATTTTTTTGGCAATTGTTACCTCGTTTTCTAACTAATAATTGTCAAAAGTCACAATGAATTTTCTTTTCTTTTTCTTTATTTCCTCTGGGGTGTCCTGGATAAACTTAAGAATCATAGCACTAATTCAAATATACTAAGATGCCTTTTTGGGCAGAAAGCATGCTGATTGTGTCAATAAGCTATTAAATCATGTAGTTCATTGTTTTTAATCAGGAGTTTTAAATAATTCAAGCCACTCTGTATATCAATTAGTTCCTCATTTTGAAGATTACTCTTAAACTACACAACAATTAAGTATGCTCAGATAACTTAAATCAGTCAGGGAACCAGGCTTGTGGCTCAAAGAGGGGAGCACATGTGTAGCATGTCAAGGATCTAGCTTCATCTTTGTCGTCATGTCCCTCTCCCTTAAGCACAGCCATCCATGTACAAGAAAAATCAAAGTGGTAAAACTCTAAAGACATTAAAAAAATAGAAGTACACAGTTAAAGCATAAAAGACCATTATAATTTTTATATAAAATTTGTCCTTTTATTCATACAGAAACATATCTGTTTAAATTTTTTATTTCTGTTCTTGTGCAAGGAATATGATAATCATAGGATTAAAGTTATGCTTTATTTTTCATAAAGAAATAAAAATAATTGAAATACAGATTTTTTAAATAGCCTTTAAGAATCTATGATATAGCTCAACCTAATTCAGTTTTACAGCTTCATTGTTTCTGTAGAAGTGCAAATTAACAATTATTCATTATAATCTTTATATTTTTATACATTCTACCCGTCATCAAAATAACTCTAATTCCAAGGTTATTTAGATACTTGCATGTATTTTTTCATAAAAATTATATTATAGAAAAAAAGTTCTCTTCATTACCAAAATCAAATTAAATAACATTTATTTAGAATTTTTCAGTTATATGATAAAGTTTCTTCTGATGATTTTTTGTTTTTTGCTTTTTGGGTCACACCCGGCGATGCTCAGGGGTTACTCCTGGCTCATGCACTCAGGGTTACTCCTGGCTCATGCACTCAGGAATTACTCCTGGCGATGCTCGGGGGACCATATAGGACGCTGGGAATCGAACCTATGTCGGCCATGTTGGCTGCATGCAAGGCAGATGCCCCACCCGCTGAGCTATCGCTCCAGCCCCCACTTCTGATAATTTTTTAAAAAAATAATTCTGTAGATTTTTTTAATGAAGTCACACTCATTTCCAAGAAATAAAATATTTAGTCTAAAAGAATAAAAATATAGTGGTATATTTTTGCCTATTTATACATAAACATTATACAAATGTAGTTTTCCATTTGAGTGAACATAAACAATTATGTCATACATAGTCATACAATAGTCATTTATTTGCATTTTCTTAAATTTTATAGAGTACTTTATACCTATATAATTTACAATAGTATAAAGGAATATGTTCAAGTTTTATTTGAAGTTAACAACTTCTGAAAGGAGATTATGGAGTATAAACTTTTAACACTAGCGTTTAGTGTCTGTGAAAATAATGTGGTGTTTTCTTTGTCTAGCAAGCAGCTTTGGAACATATACATCTTTTTTATAGTAATTTACACAAGCCTTCCTATTAAATATTCAAGAAATTAGTTCTAAGATGACATCTTAATTCAACAACTAGAGAGCTAAGCAGTCTTCCCACAGAACAAATATACCTACTCCAAAGTATAGAAACAGACCCTTTCTTGTGTCTTCACAAGATTCTTTAATCTATAGTCTTTACCTATTCTTTACTCACATCAATATAACAGTTTATAGGAACAATATAAAGAATGCCTAGAGGAATGTTCTGAGACAATTCGTAAGCAATTCTTAATTAAACTGAAATAAAGATAATTACAGTTTTAGGGAGTCTTGATCAGGGACTATTAGTTTTACTACAAGTTTACATTAAAATTTTTAGGTATACCTGATTTTTCTGAGCCAAATCTCAAATTAGATTCAAAACCTCATACTGAAGTTAGCTTAAATGTGTACTTCAAAGCAGAGGCTGATGGTATAGATATGCACTTTTGTAACTTACTATTTCTAAAACATCTATTTTGATAACCCCTCAAATGATGCAATATCATATTATCATCATATTTATTTATCAATATAAAATTAAAACTTTAAGGATTCTAAGAACATTCTGTTCAATTTTCAATGCTATGATCTTGCAGAAATATTTAAAGTTAAAATCACACTAAAACTCAGCGGTTTTTAAGTTTAGACCCTAAATTAAGCTTTAAAACCAGTAATTTGTATATTTCAGATCCACTCTGACATAATGTTGAGTTCTTATTACCATGAAAGAAATTCTTGACATTAAAATGGAGACAAAAATTCTGGCTTCAATTGTAGAACTTAATTACATTTCTAATTACAGTGAATCATGACCTTTGTTATAAATTCAGAATAAATCTAGCATTTTGATTTTACCATTGAATAAAGTTTATGTCATGTTACATCGAGAGGCTGATGAACTATTATGGATGTTAAATGGATACTTCTCATTCCTGGCATAAATTTAAGATGTTTTATGGTTTATGATTTTTTTTTAAGAATGCAATGTACTTTAAGTATATTTCCTAACAAAATAACACAATACATTTTTCACTGGGAAGAAATATACAACTCTAAAGGATATCAGTCATGGTGGCATTAGTTATCTTGAAGTTTATAAATATTTTCTAAGTCCTAGTATTAGCATTATTAAATTTCTGATAAATTAAGATTAAATAACAATTACTTTTTTATTGGGTTAAAAGCTTGTGAGTGCAATATGTTCACATAATCCCCCCTCATGAGAAATGTTCACATAATCCCCCCTCATAAGAAAAGTGTTATTTAAGAAATGCTTTAAAAATATCATTTTTTTGAACCAGGTTAGAGATAGCTGATTTTATTTGTTTTTCTATATACTTTATAATCTGTGATTTCTTGAAAATAGTTGTATTGTTTTTCATAGCATAATGACATAATCAGCATGCTATCTAAATTAGCTGTGCAGTCAAGAGTAAAAATTTGCCTCAGGTACTGAATCCTAGGAACAGACTGACCTTATCACAGGTACTCTAACAATAGCTTTTGTTTGATTGAGGATTAGAAAGAAAATCTTGTCCTTGGCTAGAAATTTAATCACATTTGTCCCTATACCCTTCTTCTGCCCTTATTATTTTTCCTTTGACCTAGGTGTATTAGAAATGGCAGTTAGTCAATAAAAAGGCTGGTTAGGGAACTCACTCTACACTAACAATGGGAGGTAATTTTTCACCTTGCTTCAAATATTTCCTTTAATAAAACACAAGTAATATTGTTACAATAAATAGTATTTATATAATAGAGCCCTTTAAATTGTCACTATAATACATATTGCTTCTAATAAATAATATTTAATTTTAACTTGAATTTGTCATTATAAATAAAATAAATTTTGGAAAAGAAAGTAATATAATATTAATTTTTTAAGAAAAATATTTCTTAATTTACTTAATAAAAATACTAATTAAAAGAAAAGAAAAAATCAATCCAAATTGTTTTGAAGTGTGAATAACTCTTATAAACAAATATATATTTGCCTTAAATGCATATTTGATTTTAAATTTTTTAATTTTTTTTATCTTTTGGGGGCACACAAGGCAGTACTCAGGGATTTCTTCTGACTCTGTTCTCAGGGATTACCCATGACAGGCTTCTGGTACCATATTGTTGCTGGTATCAAACCTGGATGACTGTGTGCAAGGCAAGCACTTTACCTGCTGTACTATCTCTCCTGCTCCCAATATTAGATTTTATAAGTTAAAAAGACAATAGGAGTGCCCTCTGATTGTTTTTCATTGAATTATTTTGCATGCTTTTTATAATAAAATATTACATATCGTATTATTGGATGAGTTGGCAGGGGATATTTTCCCAAAAATCTGCTCAGGGTTTATTTTTCACAGTGATGGCCAGGATAAATATGATATATTTTGGCTCATAACATTATCTGTGGTCACAAGATGACAAGACCATCACTTTACTAAGAATTCTTATGCTTGCAAAAATATTCTTGTATTTCTCTTAGAGCCCAAAGGTAAAGATTTTCTAAACATAGATTTTTAATGCTTTAACCCGGTTTAGAAAATGATGTCCAAAGTGCTTGTTTTAACAGCTTTGATCTTGACTCATGACTAATGTGCAATAGCTTTTATATTCCTGTCACAATGATGGGTGACATTTAATGTACAATGAAGGGCAACAATGAATTATTATGCACTTGAAAATGGATAACTGTTTTGGTGGGATGTCCAATGTTAAACTAATCTGCTGTCAAAAAGACTGTTGTCACATTGAAATGAAATGCTATTTTTTTTTTGTCTTTGGCACCAATTTTCTCATCTCTTACTAGAAAACAATTCAATTTTACATTTTCATTACTTTAGATGTATTTTACCTTTAGTTTTAGTCATGTTTTGCTCAAGTAAATTGTAGGGAAGCCTAGCTGCTATTTTTATTTCTTTATAAAAATGTTTCATGGATATAAAGACATTTTTGCTTGAGTGCTGTTTGCCATTGTGCCTTTCATGTGTACAAAAAATATTATTCAAATTTAATATGTTAACAATCATCTTATTTTTGGAGCTACAAGTCAGTATTGAGTCAAACTGAACTTTTAAACTGTGTTTTCATGAAGATTTATTTTTACACTTGTTACTTGACAGGTCTATTATAAAATAATTTACTTCCTTATATTTAATAGTTTCATTAATGTTCAGTAATGTAGTAAAATAAATTTGGATTACTAATCATAATATTTCTGATACTTGTAAAGCTAAACTGCAAACTCAGTTGAATCAGTGATTTATTCACAGCTTCTGTGAATATGGCATTTAAACAGTAGTGATTTTTAACAGATTATCTGCACATAAAAAAAGGAATCCCTTAGTTGTCATCAAAGAAAATAAATGTATGTCTCACATCTTAATTTT